CACGTGCACGCAAAAGTCGAGACAGTTGAGATCATGTGCACCCACGCATACGGTGATATTTTCCAATATGTACATACACTACTAGACAGATACAGATACAAATGAGACTTTCATAACCCGTGGTTTATGAAAGTGTTTATGTTTATGTGAAGGCGGACTTAAGAGCTATATAATCTTTGAAAAATGCTCGAGCTCCTACTAGCTATATTTATGTTGGTGAGTGCCACCCTAATTCAAGTGCTTGTTCATACTGACGTTTTAGTCGCTGGGTCCTTCAAATTCCATGCACAGAAGAACTCCTGCTTCGGAATCTCGCCAGTATTTTCTTATTAAAGCCTGTAACCGTAGAGTAATGCAGAATATTTCTACAAAAGTAGATAAACACTAACGCCTCTGACCTAACAATAAGTGAAAATTGGCGAAAAGGCAAGACGTAACTGTGAAAGAGTGTCCTATGGTAGGGGCTGATTGCACGACCCTTTCTACTTTTATCGACCATCTAAAGCTGGAAGTTTCCGTGTGCCATTCCATCCAGAGGTCCCACGGAGAAAGTGATGAACATGGGTGGACAAAGCCCTAATAGTGATACTGTGCGGTTTAAGTAGGAAGCGATTGATCACAGGCATCAAAGATGCCGCTGAAGGTGGTAAAATAGTCGTACGAAAGTTTGTCCGCTTTTGAGGAAAACGCCTCGCAAGATGCGAAAGCCACGTCCCTCAAGAGACCCCATCCATGGGTCTCATGCCCCCGTACTTCACGCTTACCACTGCTTCGAATCACCCCGTCATGATGTGGCTTCCATTTACTATATTAATTGCTTGTTTATGTTAAGCACTCACCTGGCCCACCTTTATAACTTCGTTCGGAGAATTTGAGAAGCAGATTCGAAATCAGCTTTGGAATTAAACTCATGACACGGACACTTCGGTTTGTGATCCTCCCCTTAATAGTCAAACGCAGTCTTGCAACCTACAAATTGACTCTCCGAGATACATCGAGTCTTTTGCTCTGCATGTAGTCTTTTTAATCTCAAACGACAGTACACAATACTGATTCAGTCATCATGTGCCGTATGCATAACGCCCAGGGTAGGGAAGGGACAGCTCCCCAAGGAAATGTTTGTTTTCGCCGTGGGTCAGAAATGTGACGCTGGAGCAAATTATTTTATGCTTCGAGTACCGTCTGGCCAATATCAGATTGTTATCCGAAGTTCGTGTTTTTCGGTTAGATGAAAGGGAATTAGGAGAGAGTGTGGACACTTGCCTCGGGAAAGCACTGTAAGAAATTGGAGGGGAACTGCATTCTGAGAACGCTCAAGGAAGTAGGAAATGGTTAGAATTTTCTCTGAAATGCATTTAGAGGGTTGTAAAACTCTTTAACCGAGCATCCAGTTTATCGCGCACCAAAGTATAGAGCAACTTTGATTAAATGTGAAAATTAATTATATCGTACATAAATAAGTGGAGAAGACAGTAGAAGTTAAAGTGTTCAGAGTAGGGAGAATAGCCTCCAACAAATGAAGTCTGTACAGGAGATATCAGATAAAAAGGTCATTTTGTGGTTACTAGCTGTTAAAAGTCATCAATTACCACTTCGCGGAGGACTTGGACAATCTCACTTTCTACAGAGACTTAGGTTAGGGCTAAATTCAGAAGGAGAGGTCGCCAGAACTATACGAGCACCAATCCATTCTACAGTACTTAATCGGTTTTTACACATTTGCGCCATCTTCGGCTCAGGAGCCTTTCATCTCGACTATCTTGCTCTTACATAACCTTCCTCTATGAATATGCTCCCAGCACTGCAATCTCCATGCTTCTAATCTTATTTTTACTCCTCTTCACTCGCACTAAACTATAATACCTTTGGTGTGTACTTTTCCCCTCAAGTCGGCCGCATCGAAAGCGCCTCCCTCCTTTCCAGGTCTACTTCAACCAATGGTATCCATATACATCTTGTTCAACAACATGCTTCCTATCTAGACGCTGGACTTCTTTACTGTTGTTATCATCATACATCCTCAGTTATTCACCTTTCACTTTCTTGTGAAAGACGTGGATAGCAAAATGGGCATCGTTCTCTCACCTACTCAAGAAGTAACTCTTCCTTGCAAAAGTTTGCAACCCCCTTCGGAGCGGGATTCGTTAGAAAATGGAAAAGCAAAGCGATTAGAAGGCTTACGACACAACTGCAACACTCTACGCCCTCAATTCAGGATAAAGGTTCAGAGTTGGGAAAAAGTCGGAAAATGCAACAAATACAGACTACATTTCGACATGGCGTAATGTCGCCACCACCGTCACTACTACGTCAGGCGTAGCCAGGATGCATAAATGAGTCGAAAAACTACTTGCTAGTTGCAATAGCGGAGTATCGGTATACATGACCATCGGCGCCCCTGCTCAATTATTGGGGTACGTTCATCCCCCTCCCAGGGTAGGGAGGCCTCCCCTCCCACGGTGGGGGGTCAATGGGGTCGGGCTTCTCTGAGCTCTCGCTAAGGTAAGGTCGCAGAAGCAAACATCCCACGATTATCGAAGGCAGTCGATTTTTCACCTGTTTATAGGAAAAAGCTTTGCTCCATTGTCACTATCTTGACCCAAGACCTACCATTTGAACGTTCGCGCCCTTCGGAAACATTTCCTTGGGGAGACTCTCCCCTTCCCTACCCTGGGCGTTATGCATACGGCCCCATATGATCCATGTAGGTGCACGTGGTTTAGGTGCACGTAGCTCCACGTAGGTTGCTGGATGGAGCTACGTGCATCTAAACCGAATCAAAATTCCAAACTGGAGGCTGCTTTTCTCGAAAAGTATTCTATTAACTGAACTGTTTAGATGGCCATTGATCATCAGTGAGAGCGATCTCGTAATCCTGTCCGAATGTGGCTCCTGGTGAGTCTAAAGATCTTCAAAAGACTTGGCAAGTGGGCTGTCTCTGTCGTAACGGCATCACAAGGTGTGGTATGTAGCTATATCACATGATGTCCAGTTAATCATCAATTTCCTCGAGCGGGCGGTTTTATTATCTTTTCGCCTCAATCGTGCCGATGTATTCCAGTGTCAATGTAATCCAATTTTGAGGAATATATGGCACTGCAATCCTTCCACCTAGAGCTTTCGTGCGGAATCCGTGCTATAGTGCAGAGGGTGGTTTCTTTGGAGTCTAGAGATCCAGTTAGTAACTAGTCCAAAATTCATCATAAATCCCATAAGGTGCTTGGCTCACATGGTCTTCGATTCCTTGGCACGAATACTTGCGACATTAATCCTCGTTCATTGACAGAGCTCTAAACTACTGATTCCCCTCTCTTGCGTGTGTCGGGAGATCCCGAGCGTTGTCGTCCTTTCCACAGCGCGCTTAATTACTCTGACTGCATACTTCTCCTACATTCGTAGAGACCGAGCCGTTGAAGTCTACCGAAGCCTTGGGCATACCGATGTTAACGCAGGTGTTGTGTCCCACTGTTGTCGCTCTAGCCTTGCTGTTGAACAGATAAGTGGATATGACGATTAATTTGAAGACACGTTCAGATACATCCGGAGACGAAGTAGGAAAAGACCACGCTGGTTATCATCATAACCACCACGATACACAACAGCAGGAAAGATCGCAGTGTCGGAAAGGTGCGTGCGGAGCCAAATGTTTTTTGTTTTCTTCACTACTCCTCGATGCTGTTAAATGCTCCCCACGCGGCGCATTCCCTTCCGCTTATTTCGGTTGTTCATCATGTTCATTTTTCGACTCAAATACAGGTATCGAGAGCCTTCAGAGACAACCGCTTCGTTAAGCGTAAAAGGTGCATCAAGTACCAATCCGTTCTTCATGAACATCGCCTCCGTGAAGTTCAGTCTTCTGCCGTTTTTCCACAACCGTTGTTAGGACATCTCACTCACAACACAAACATAAAATATTCGCTCCGTTTGCTTGATGTTCGGTGTTGTGAGCAAATTTCGCCTGTGAAGAGGAGGCGATGTGAGGTCCGGCCCGACGATTCTCACTGCCTTCTTCCGTCTTAAATGACACATGATGTAATTGAAAGCAGCACTAAAGAATTTGTCATAATATTATCACTCTGCCTAATCACTCTTTTCACCTTAACTCGACTATCTTGTTGAATGGCGAGATCCTGGTCTTTCCAAAAGCTTCAATTGCCGCATTTGTCTCGGTGGTGTCAGAAGCCTGCTACAAATTGATATTTCATAGCGGCTGGCCAGAAGCGGTAATCAAAGCCTTGGGGAAAACGCTGTTCCTACTCAATATATATTGCAAGTGCAATTAATTCAACAGTAAAGCTTTGAAAGTTTCGAGCACACATCGTTGTGGAAAGTCATATCGATTTCCTTTCATGATCGAGTAAAACAATTTATTGAATTGTGACATGAGAGGTCAAGATCTCTGTTCCATCAGGCTACATAACGAGACTAGCACGATTATGATGCACTAATTTGGCATGGTATACAGTATTGGAAGTTTGGCATGGTTGAGAGTATTTACAAGGTTTACCAAATGAATGATCCAATTAATTTCGCATATTTAATGAAAGATGCACAGAAGGAAGAAAAATGCAATCACGCTCAATCTACTCGTGTATAGTGGTAAGCACTATGAGAAGCGTCTCGGTAGCCTACTGAACGGGAATTTTCTGGTTCGAAGCACTCGTATTTCAAAAACTACACATCGTATACTGTAACGGGAGCAGACTACGATATTCGAGGAAGAAACAGGGCTACTGTCATCTATATAGGCCTATATAAAGGATGTATAGGCCTGTAAGCCTCGTAGTCTATGTGAACATCAACCAAAATGTTCCTACATCGTCACATCAGTTGGCAGTTGTTACTGAAGGCAGATAATATCAGGCAGAAGTGGAATGGCATAACAGATAAAATTGGCAGCTTAGGTGAAAAACAACAATGAGCTATCATATTGTGACCCTGTGGTCACAGTGGCAAGCAGCGCAATATACACACTACGGCATGAGCAGAAAGACGGCGGCTTACAACAGCACTGGCTGCGGATACTCTTGCGCCAGCATATGCTCTGGTATCATCGTGTAGTGCTGCATGGCGGCCATTTCGGCAGGATGCTGGGTTGCGCCTGCACCGGCATAGTGCACACGGAAATCGTGCGTCACGTACTCGGCGGCATGGGTGTATTCATGCTTGATGTCAGGCTTGTATTCGTGCGTGTCGGTGCCTGCTGGGGATTCGTTCTTCTTTCGTCGGGTACGACGCTGCTCTGGGGACGATGCCGGAGACAGTATTCCTGTTTGACGGTACCTGAAACAAGCAAATTTGACCCTGCACTGGCAATACAACGAATAAATACCGAAGAAATTCCCTATGATTGTGTAAGGCCCCCCCCCCCCCCCCCTCTTCTCCATCACTGGCACTTTTTTCAGCAACTTGCTCTCGTAACCTTGTCAAGTTAACATCCAATAGAACTGTTAATTTCACGTGCCGGACTCATATTACCGATGAGCGTCTCTCGACTATTGAAAGTCTCGAAACTTCTACTACCATGGGATGAAGAGAAGAACATTAGACGATCGCCTATGCGGCTGCAGTCCCGAAAGTACTGCTACTGCGAAACACTGCGGCAAAGCAGGGCGATCACATTCTCCTACGGGTCAGATGGCTGGTAACTGAAAGTGCCACGGTGAGAATTATGGTTGGACACCAACTGTACATGTGTTTTGCAAGTTGTAGAGGAGACGGAGGGTTCGGCCTACTCAAAGGAGAGAAGGTTGGAAGAAGAGCCAATTGTGTAGCCCTAATGGTGACTATGGTGTAAGTCGAGCACGAGATGATTTCACTCATGGTTCTACCTTATCCGCTACTTGACTGATGTTTTGTTGGAGACTTCTTAAATTTTTCAAAATAACTGTCTAATCTAAAATACCGGACGTTTTTAGTCTGAACAGTTACTAGAAAAACTGTCCAGCCTAAAAACTGACGAGCGTTTAAAAAACCGGAAGTAGCATCAACAAATAAACTTCCATCCAAACAACAGAAGTTTGGGTGGTAGTTTATTTTTCTTGTTTTTGATATTCGTTCTCATTCCCGTCCAGAAGTATCCCTCACAGACTTAGGATATAAATTCACCTCTCATTGGGCAGACGCTAGTCAGACTGATAGTTTACCAACTGATAGAATAGTTCTTCAAATGTCTGTAAAAATGTGTGCAAAATCCTTCTATTTACTATCTCCACCTTATGAAATGTCACGGGATCATACCTGCTGATGATTTTACTGACGCAACCATGGGAAATACACAAGGCTTTGGAGATTGCGTTCACTTTCATACCGCTCATATGCAGGTCGATAATTTGCCGTCGCTCGGCCATTGACAGCGGCCTACCGGGGCAGTACGGTCGACCGTATAAATTTGTGCCTGAAATGCTTCTAATGAAAGAGAATGTCACAGCCCTACTTTATAAGCTGATAAACTTCAAACAGTGAATTTCAAGGAACGTCGAGCTCCTCTCTGGTACTTCTTGATTTACTACTGGCTGAGTTGCGTGCTGAGTTCTATGGTAAGACTCGAATACACCTCTTGAATGGAATAAAATCGGTTCAATCTGATTCTCTTCAATCTAGAGGGAGAATGATCCGCCCATTCACTCGCACATTTCAATGTCACCGTTCATCACCTTGTATAAGGAAGGCGGTTAAGAAAGGCTTACAAAAATGCATAACGGGACTACCACCCATTAACATGGAAAAATGAAATTCCTGCTTCATCTATTTATCGGAACTCTTCTCTGTTTCTCTAGAAACAAATGCAGTCCTTTCTTCCCTCCTATCAGAAGTAAAGAAGCCCATTGACCTTTTTATAATACTTTATAGAAAAACACTTTTAGCTAAGTTGAATCAGGCTGCCACTCAAGCCATACTGTTGTTATACTATTATATGATGAGAGTATGCCTTGGCTGGCAGCCTTTCTCATTTCAGATGAAGCCGAAATTTTCTGAGAAGTATCAGGACTTGTAATGGTTCACTTATTGCATCTTTACAGAGCATACGCCGTCAATGCCATTTTGGGATAGGACGGGATTGAGGCATGCATCACCACGGAACATGCATTCGAATGCTTCTCTTTCTTCTGTCTTCCATGGGGATCACTTCACACTCGCTTTGGTGAAATGATCACTCGAAGAGAAAGGTGAGCCTTCCATCCAAACTGTGCGTCAGAAACAATGAATTAGCCTTTACTCTTTGTCGCTAATCCTTTACTGCATGATTAATGGGCTTGAATACCCGGTAGAAGGATAGGGTAACCCCCACGGAGCCACTGCCGGTTGCCGAGGGAATTCGAGGAGAAGTACCGCCACCCACACGAACTCACCTAATTTGTTGGATTTGGAGCCCGAGTAGAATGATAGGGTACTCAGGAATCTTGCTTACTGCAGGGCTTGTTTCTTTACCTGTTGCGTCTTATAAAAAAAACGAGTATAGTGTTCACTGTGTCTGAGTCAGCTAACATGCACAGAGGCTATTACCTCCTTTCCGTCAAAGAAAAGAAGGAATATCGCCCCTACATGGATCTGTCTACTCATGGAGAAATCTCGCTGTTACAGAGAAGACTTCTCTGCAAGCTACATCAAAAGTGTCGATACGTACAAAGAAATACCCGGAATGCCAAGGAAGGCGAAAGAGATTTCTTTATTAATGGGAACTGAATCAAAGGAAATCATCACGTCCGACCGGGTTGATCAAGTGCAGGGCAGGAGGTGCATACATGTTGCTTCGGCAAAGTCACCAATCTGCTCATCATGTGCAGTACCGTGGGACGTGCTCAAACCTTTTGACGTGGTCTTTGAAGCCGTTAAGGCCGTTAGATCCAATTTCGTGGAGAAAATTCAGCTGCATACCGGAGCGAGTTTGATTTTGGCCAGTCAGTATTTTAAAGGAAAGTTTTGATGGGCTTTCATTCTGATAATAATGGTCCCATGTATTATGTACTATGGGAAGAATCTGGAGACGATTGTGTACTGTTGTAGAAATCTCGAATTTGGTTTATTTCAGAAAAGTTTGCTCCTTTTCCTCAGCGGGATTCTCTCAAGATCAGCTGAATTCAGCGGTTTTCGACAAAAGAGGCTTTCACTAAAATGGACAGCACTGTGCCCGTACTGCGCATTATAGAGTACACCGCGTTTCGTTAGTATAACATCATCCTCAAATTTGGTGTTGTCTGTTTCATAAGTATAAGATCACATTGGGGACATGGAAAAAAGGGTTCTTAGTAAGGACAAAAAACATTTAGTAGTCGATGGGCCTTCCTTGTTCTGCCTAGTATCGAAAAGCCTACATGGCGTACTTGAAACAAGGTTTTGAAAGACCTCGCCGGAGATTTCATTCCAAGATTCAAGATTTTTTATCATTTCGAGATTTCATTCCAAGATTCACTGCTTGAGCTCTTCTATCTTCTGAAACTGACGGTTGTTCGCATAAACTTTTTCACAATGATGCCCCCAGATTCTCCATCGGGTTCAGATTGGGGCTGTAAGCTGGCCATGTCAGAACTTCGAAATTTCGGGAAAGGAACCAGTCTTTCGTGGAATGAGTAATGTGGATTGCAACTTTGCCTTATTGAAACACGTAGGACCACGTCGCCGGCTCGCAAATGGCAATGCGTGCCTTTGTAAGACTTCCATTTTGGAGGTCACGAGAGCAAGCTCCAGCCCGACATCTTTGCAGAAGGCACCCCATACCGTGACACTTCCTCCCCCAAAATTGCGACGACTAGACTTGATAGGCTCTTTTCGTAAGTCATGCCAGTAGTAGTTGTAGCCATCGGAGCCTTCCAAACTTACTTTCTTTTCATCGAAAAATACGACCTGAACGAGAATATTGGACTGCATGCTAATCGGTAATACAAGCTCACTTTCATCCAATGTTCTTCCAAATTCAAATTCGCAAATTTAAGTCGTGCCTTCCTGTGGAGGTCGATGAGCCTCGGAGCCCTCTTCATTGCTGCCCTGACAATGATGCTGCTACTTTTCACCTCTCTCCATTCAGTGGTTTTAGACACCACACCGAGAGACCCAACTCCGACCGAACTTTGCTCAACGATAAGGTTTCGTCCGAAATGGTTCCCAGCATTTTCTTGTCGTCGTTCGCGGTTAGCTTGTGAAGCGCCCTGTCCTCGTGGGGACTCTGTTGCCTTCAAATATCTTTGAACGGAGCAGAGGGATCTCACGATTCTCCTTCTAAGGTAAGTGCCCTCGTACTGAACCCTGTATTACGAAAATTTCGATTTTGTGCTTTTTCTTCTAAAAAAGGATGACCTCCGCGAGGCAAAGTGCGTATTGCTTCCAAACATATTTGCGACACATTCTCTCCCAAAAAGGATCCCTCCATGTGCAAGCTCTGCTGTACTCGATTTCGAAACCCGTCACGCTGTCAGCGGNAGCGCCCTGTCCTCGTGGGGACTCTGTAGCCTTCAAATATCTTTGAACGGAGCAGAGGGATCTCACGATTCTCCTTCTAAGGTAAGTGCCCTCGTACTTGTATTACGAAAATTTCGATTTTGTGCTTTTTCTTCTAAAGAAGGATGACCTCCGCGAGGCAAAGTGCGTACTGCTTCCAAACATATTTGCGACACATTCTCTCCCAAAAAGGATCCCTCCATGTGCAAGCTCTGCTGTACTCGATTTCGAAACCCGTCACGCTGTCAGCGGTGGTCCTTTACTTATGAAACGGCAAAAAAAATTCGAAAATAATCCGCATAAATGCTAACATAAAAGTTGAGCAAAGCAAAACCCGTAGTAAATACCTAATTCGAGGGTGATTTATTCTATTCCTTATAAGTATAAATATAAGTATTCTTGAGAAACTGGGTATATTAGCCGCTGTGCATGCTTAAATCACTACCCCTTCAACAACTCTTTTCTAAAATTGATTAGCAGATCCTCCACAAACAGGCACCCACTAATGTGGAGCTCGGAAGTCTGTGCAGCAACATTCGTTCGTTTGTCGTTTGTTTTGATATAATTCAGTGAATAAGCGGCACCTAATAATGATGTATTCCCAGTATTATTAATGTTTTTCATAGTTGGCTATTGGAGAATCCTATCATTTGAGCATCGTTCTTATTTTCCCAGATTCATTTTGTGACACGCAAACAGCTGAGCAGCCTATGAGTCAATGTCGCAAAAGTTGTCCTGAGGGCGGTGTTTACGTTAAACGATAACTTACGAAATCTGAAATGCTCGTGACTTTAAGAGATGTATTCTTTAGTAACTGGCTGGTGCTTTCCAGAGTAGTAGCGTTAAGCGCTTTAGAAGACCTATGAAAGTTCCGTTTTCTCAAGCAAAATCTTTGTCATTACTAAAATTCAGATTCCCTCTCCTTCTGTAATAGTTTCTCTCTCGGAAACCAATTGTTGAAATCGATTGTAATTCAAAAAGCCTCCACCAAGCCCGGAAGGAATTCCTTTCACGGAAGCAACCGAGGTCGTTTCCATTTTGCGATTGCTTTAGCGTCTGTGTCACCCCGTTGGGGCATAGGGAACATGAAAAAAGGCCCAGAAAAAAGGCCCAGCAAGGATCATGACAGGGAGCCTTTCGTTTCAAAAAAGACTTGTTGAATTGCTACTCGAAATAGAATTTCTGAAATTGGCGTATTGGAACCACGGCGCGTTTTGCAAATCAGGGCTCATAATTCTAGCAACGGTCCATGAACTTGGAAGTTAGAGTCATTTTCGGTTTCTGAAATTCAGAAATATAAGAATTATCACGAAAAGCTCTACCTTTTCTCCGCGGCTTCCTTACATCTTCTCGTTTAACTGAGTCAGTGACAGTTTCGGGCAACACATCGTTATCCTCAGGCATCTCCGTGGTGAGTGGAGGTGCTTCCAGTGAAGCATAGTAAGTGTTTGATACCGACGGCGTCATGCCCTGAAAGGTAAACGGCTTAAATCTGTCCAGTACTCCTTATTAAATACACTTATTTGTTTTTAGCAGGAATTCTGATCTGATTTATTCCGAGGACTACTTCCCTAGTGAGAATGGCTACGACATTTAAGTCGACAGTTTTGTGAAACCCATGCCAACTTATGTGAGGTCATCTTCAGAATGGGATTCCATTTAATCTCGCTTTTGTAGTACATGTGACCTGGACACAGAATTGCAAAGCTGTTGGTTCCCAAATTTCCCATCAAAACCTTTTTCTAATTTGGGCAAAGAAGAAGCCTAATTATCACCGTGCACATAGCGGCACTAACACGTGTTCTTCAGTCCCCAAGGAGATTCCTTTTAGAACTGAAGATTTAGAGTGAAGTGTAACTAATGATGTAAGTCACGCTCCACAGTTCCCAGTTCGTCAATGCAGTAACTCTATCCCTATTGTCAATGAAGTCCTTGGCTTAACGTCTCTATCGCTCATTTTGATTAATAAGTACAGGTATGCATGATACTCGGAACCGTATCCTTTCAAAAATAATAGAGACCCTTACTTCTCATTAGTCAACTCGTTAAGTTCTTTCCACTTATAATGCTCAGCTTGAATGTATTTACTACTCTTCCTCGAGGTTCAGATTATATGTCACCAACAACATTCTCCCTTATTGATGCACATGTGTTGGTCATTGTCACACGAGAGGGTAACTTTCAGATACATGAATCTATTAA